TGTTTTTAAAACTAATTATTACTCATTTTTCCTCTAAGCATAATTTACAATTTTTGCGGTTAATACTGTATGGGCTTCTTTTTTATAATTTCACATTTGATTTTAGTGAGTGTATTGTTTTCTTTTTAGCTCTATATGTATTTTGGTAGGTTTGTATTGCATGTGCAGTTTTTCTTTCGAATGGCATTTTTTGGTTATAATATCTTTCTTTAAATATATAATTTTTTCGTCTGCCTTATTATTTACGGTAGCTTTGTATATTATATTATTATTTAAGCAATTATTATTAAGTGGGCAATTTTCTGTTTCTGCCGCTACATTTAATGGTATTACATTGTTGCATGTTGTTTTTGTAATTGTTATTGGTTTTATTGGATATTTTTTTATTGTGCATAGTTATTATTTTCTCCATGTTATCCATGCAGCTGTAACTTTGTTTGTATTTTTCTTGATAATTTACTTTTTTTAGAAAAGTGTTTGTCAATTATTATGAAGAATATTTCCCCTATTTTTGTTTTTGTATTGTTGTAAGGGTTGAACCAAATTATATGTCTTTTTCTGTTATTTTTGTCTGAATTATTTTCGCTTTTCTGTTCTAGTTTGAATATCCACTGTTTCTTACGGCTGATTCATATGGGTTTTTTTTTGTGTTTTTTTTAATTTTAATTTAATTTATGCTAATAGAATTTTTTTGAAATTCTTTTATTTATAGATATGGATATTTGTTTAAAAAGTTAAGAGGGTGGTAATATTTTTTTTAATGTATACTATGCTTCGCCGTTCTCAGCTGGGTTACTTTGTTTACACAACTCGGCCAAGAACTCTGGATGAGTTAAAACAGAGAATTCAAGATGAAATTCACAGTATCCCAGCTGATATGTTGCCGCAGTCAATGAGTAATCTCAACAGCAGATTTCAAGAATGCATTCGTACAGGAGGACGCCATCTACAGGACGTAATTTTTAAAAAATAAAATTCCATCATTGTTTCTTAAACAGCATGGTTTAAGGTTTCAATTACTATGAATAAAATATTTTTCTTCCATCACTCTTGCTTTTATTGGATTGTTAAAAAGTTCCTTTTTTTTTTTTTGGTCACCATATATTTGTTTATTTATTAATTATATTTATATCCCCATGAGTTCATATACTTCTGCGCCATGCGAAGGCCAATAGGCATTATGAACAATATTTAATGAATAAAAATGGCTTACAAACAAAACCTATAAAAGTTCGGATGAGCCTTCTTGTAGTGTCAACGGCTATGTAGCACAGTGGGATAGATTGGGATCTACAGCTATGTATGCAGCGTTGACACAGCATCTCTATGCGAAAGGCTTCCTAGACTAAAGTTAGTGGTCAGTGTGGAGGGTGACCTAATGGAATCAAATGCTACATGTCCGTGCCCGTAGAGGACATCGGCTGTTGTTGAACCAGAAGACGGATAAGCTCCGACAGGTCTACTTGTCCAAGACACGCTACACATGAAATAATACCTCTCTGGCCTTCAACCCAGATATGTGGAGGGAACTGGTCAGGAGCTCAATAGCGCAAAGACCCTATGACCACATTTGGTCATAGTAACGATGATGATGGTCATGATGATGAACATAGTTTCGTTTTTTTCTAAAGTCTTCATCTTATTGTTTTAAATATTGTCAGTTTGAAACAGGATTACTTTCTGTGACAAGCTATAAAATTCTAATCTTTAATTATTTTTAACTGATTTATTCGTTTTCTACGGCTTATCAACCCTTTGCAGGTCATTTAAAGCTAGAAAATATTTTTAGATTTTAAGATTTTTTTGCGGGGGGAAATAATACGTATTTAGTGATACACGTCTTACTATTTAACCCATGGACGGTGGATCCGTACCTTTCTCAAGGATATAAAGAAACTAAATGGAATTTCCGAGCTATTATTCATTGCACCACACGCATACACAAGCTTACAGCTTCTCCAATTCCCAAATGGACACACGTCAATATATTGACCAGGCTCGACGTCGCTTAAGGTCGGTGATCGTACGGAAACCAGTGTTTCAACCTAATAAATTTAAGCCTAATTTTTATTTAGTGACGTCTTTGTCATTTTAACATCCATTTCAGCTGTGGACTAAAAGGTTTCGGTTCGAAATTCCAACGTATATCACCTGAAGAAGATCAGAGTGTACAACGGTTGAAACGTCATGAATATGACAACAGAGATGAGAACAAAAATCCGAACAGTGTAAATAGTTAGAATACCTCATCTCAGAAATATATACAGATCCTGAAGAAATCCGGTGCGTACAACGGTCCAAATGTCATGAATATAGTTGTAGCGATGAGGTCAATAGTCCAAACGATGTAAATAGCGTAAATAGTTAAAATATCTTATCTCAGAAATATAGTCAGATCAGATTCGCTTTAATCAATTTTTGTAAATCATCAAAGTATTTAGTCATTTGGATCAAATTCTTCACTCACTAATGTTTTTTGGAGTTCTTAGAGACTGTTTGCATATGATTCATACTCTTGACGTTTCTCATTCAGATTTACTTTAACTCCACAATTCTAAATCAGTAGGCTTTGTATAAAAACGGCTTCATACTTGAACTCAACGTTCATATTAATTAATATCATTCGACGTATATCACAAAATACAGGAAATGTTGATAAGCTGTAGTAAACGAATTAATCAATTTCAACCAGCTCGTCCGCACAACTTCCTTGGTTGCTAAGAGAATTGTTAGCAACCCTGTATGACGAAAAATAAGATCTATCAAAGGGTGAGAGAACTCTTGATGAGTCAACGGCCAGATAACTTAAGTTGGTGTCTCAATAAAATCACCGTGGAGGATCCAACGGGGAATCATGCCACTATCAATCTCAAGGATGGCAATACACAATATAAATATTAGGAAGCTGTGGAGAGCCGCGTATTCAAGGGATACGGCACATAGAAAAAGATGAAGACCCTAACGCCATAGAAAAGATTATTAAACCGAATTTATCAAATGTTTTCATGATATTTTAATAGATTCTTTTAAAGAATTAGATATTTTTATGTTGACAAACAAATATTAATGGAAGATATTTATTATTTGTGTCAGAACTACAAAATATAAAATCTCCTTTCGTGAGTCGAGATAAAAAAAAAAGTAACGTCTAATATCCTCATTATCAGTTCATAAAACAAGATATTAAAATTTTAAAAGGTTTCAGTACAGTATTTTACTTTTCGACAAAATTTCAGTACTGTAGGATGGGAGAGAATGATAAGACAATAGGACGATGAAGAGGGTAATGATTAAAAAAGATAAAAGAGAAAGCCTATAAAAACAACCTATCACAAAATTAAAGATTAAGCCACTAAGCCATTCATTCTCTTGCCCGTCTGTGTGCTTGAATGAAGCAAAGTATTGGCAAGCGCCCAACACGTGCAACAGTTCGGCGTCGGGAGCCACGCAAGCGTCCGGCACATCTTCTGGTTGCTAATCAGATACACAAACACGCATACTTGTGAATATATAGAAGTAACATTGCCAGGCCATCTGTGGTCACGAATCTCTTTACGATAAGCTTAACAGTGATGAGGCTATCCGTGATAGCACGAAATGGATATATCTGGGGGGTTTTTCTATGCAAAATGGAGGTAATTCATTGATGAAATTGTGGCAGTTCTACCTATAGTGGCCACCTACTGTTCGAGTCTTGATAAACGGGCATTTTTACGCACGCTCACTCAAATGGAATGTAACACAAGAACCAATTTAAACTGAGTCGCACACATACATGGAACATGAGACAAAAAATTGCCTAAATTTTCTTAGCTTATCTCCTTTTTAGCGACCTGTTAAGTGCAATCGAAGCCTTTTCTCGAGGGAGAGATGGCTCCTGGGGTAACGTTTCTTAGCATATTATATTACATTATATTATATTTTAAACCAGTTAAAGTCATAATTATGAACACTAATTCCAAAAAAAAGTTTGATCAGCGTGCTAAGTTCAAATGCTGTTGCATTCACTTTCACACAAATAAAAATATGAATTCACCTGAGATTACAGGTTAGTAACATATTGCGATATCTAGCATTAGTTGGGAACTAGTCTAAAGAAACGGGCAACTGTGAATGTTAATCCTGTTGGGCGTTGGATTAGCAAATCTACCCCGTAAAATCTGCTTGTGACTAAAACTACAGCAGGAACGCGACGTGGATGCGACATTAAGGTGTTGAGGCTGTGGCCCTACTATCATCTCAGTCGACATCATACATTCGACAACCTCGTGGTAGTACTCGCGACCCAGCGTTAGCCGCTATCATTTCTTCCCTCTTAGTCCACCTGTTACTGCTGATGACATCAGGTAGGTTTACTTCCTTACCTTCTGCCACTGAGTTGAGGTCCCATCGTCTGAGATCCTCATTATGACCTGAAAACTGGACACCCCAGCTTTCGCTCGAGAGGAAACAGGGCATATGTTGCCCAATAGCATTTCTCTGGTAGAATGTTTTCTCCAGGAAATATTTTAGAAGTAGAAGTCTTATGTAGATTCCATCTAAAGTTTTCGGGGGTTACCAGATGCTGTAAGCTTGGATGTGCGGGTGGTGTAATGGATAATGACTCGGAATTGTTAATCGCAGAGACCAGTTCCAGTTCCCGTTGGATTCTTTATATTCAGGCGCAAATATCCTTGGGAAAGATATGAATCCACCTCTTCTCCCCCAACTATGTGTTAAATAGGAAGACTTGTAAGATTAAATCATTACTATCTTTAAAAAAATTATTACAATCTAAAACAAAATTTATTCTGGCTTTAAATAGCCTGCAAAAGGTTGATAGATCGTAAAAAACGAATCAATCAATTAATCAATCACAAGTTTGGATTATATAGTCCATGTTTGTTTTATATACTCGATGCCAGTTCCATTTTTAGAGCTGATAGCCGTTAAACTACGCCTCACTTCCCTTACTGTTGTTATTTCACCAAACAGAAGTCTTAATGAAATTATATTGACAGATGTTATATACGTCAAGAGGATTAGGTGCTCCCTCCCTTTCACACTCTCTCTCTCTCTCTCTCTCTCGCATATTCTCTTCCTCTCTTCTTTCCTCTCGTTCGCTCACTCCCTTTATATCACCTTTTCCTCTCTTACTTTCTCCCTTTCTTCTCCGAGTTCTCTCTTCACTATTTTATCTCTTTTTAACTTCCTCTCTCTTTTTCTGTTGCGATTTCTGTCTTTCGCTTTCATTCTCTTTTCTCTTCTCCCACCCCCTCGTTCTATCTTTCTAATTCGCCCTTTCATCCTCTCTCTTTCTTTCGGTCACGGTGGAGTAATGGATAGCGGCTTGGATTGAGGAATCGGAGAGCCGAGTTCGAATTCCACTCGAATCCATTACATTCACTTACATGCTAATACCCTTGGGAAAGGTGTGAATCGTCTTCTTCTCCCTCCAGCTATGGGTAAATAGCAGGACAGACTTGGTTCTATAGCCTTGGATTGCAACTGGTCTAGGAGAAGGAAAACTCTGAATTCAAAACCTGCGGAGGGTCGTTTGAGGACCTTGTGGCATTCGGTGCACCAGGTCTCTGTAATCGGCCCTTTAAAAAGTGTGGATGGTCCTGCACGAAACCTTCACCACTATAATCAAATCATGTGCTATATATGCGGGTTGTGAATTCCAAATTCCCATGAAACTCCAATATTGGAGTCGACTTAACCCACATCGAGTGAATGACGGTACAGGCAGGCAGGGGTTTCTGTCACACTCTTTCTATCTTTCTACCTTTCTCTTTCTATCTCTGACTTGCCCTCTCTTTTTCGCTCTCTCACTCGTCCTCCCTTGCACCGTTTCTTTTTCTCTTTCCGTCTCACTCTTTCACACGCTATCCCGCATTTTACCATCTTAAAAACGACTGTCAAAATGAACAGTTTTTTTTAATCAATGCACCTCAAGAAAGCCAATAATGCCACTAAGACGCAAGGGGCTAATGGCAGTGAAAGAAAATGTGAAGATTTTAAAAGGAACCGGAAACCCATTCCTAACCAGGAAACAATAAAGGATAAAACATCTACCCCTGTACAAAAGACAGATCTCAATTATCACATGCTCCGTTGGGTTAATCTTTTACATCGACCCGGGAAAAGGTAAAGATTCGCAGGCATTTTCTCCACTTTTAGTCCAAATTTAGATGTTATCTGCACAGCAAGATCAGAATGAGGCATGAAACTGACAGTCCACATGCAATGTTGATTCCTACGCCAAAAATGTCTATATCTATAAATGTTCTTTCTCCAATGTAGAAGGCACTTCCCATACAAATAAAAATGAAAACAACACACACACACACATATATATATATATATATATATATATGTATGTGTGTGTGTGTGTGTGTGTGTGTGTGTGTGTGTTGTTTTCATTTTTTATTTATCGGCAAAACTTTTTTGCTGTTTTTTTTATTATTTTTAACTGAATGTATGTGTCTGAAGTTATAGGAATATTTAGTTTACAAACACAGTCATAACCTTTGAACAGTTGTGTCCAGAAAAGAAAACTTTTGTACAGACACAAGAAAAATTAAATAAAAAGCCTTATCGCAGTACCTTGTCAGTCGTCTTTAACGAAACTCATATATATATATATATATATATATATATATATATAAATATAAATATATATAGTAAAGAAATCGTTAAAAATCCATTTCGGCTATTATTTCATGAATATATTTATTTTAGTATTCATCTCTTATGACCAAAGTTTGTTTTTTTTTGTTTGTTTTTTTTTTAAATTATACCAATTTGTCCAGGCAAAAGGAAAAGGGAGATGAAAAAAGAAAGAAAACGGAAAAAGAAAAAAAAATATAATTATTGAAATTATTCCTACGAATTACTAATTGATAAAATTATTGGTAATCCGTATGGAATTTCCAAGAGGATATAGATCCGTTGAGAGCTCTATGTCAAAAGTCAGAGCAAAAATTATTACATAATGACAAACACTTAAAAAACCATATGTGATACTTTATTTCATTGAAGTCGATAAAATATAACTTCAAATCTTCAGACCTGTAAACCAAATGAAGATGGAAAAATTTACTCTAAGTTTCAAAATTAAGAATAGTGATTTCATATAGAGAGTAGGGGAAAAAAAGATACCAAGTTATCATTGTGTAGGAAGGGAGGAAAAGAAAACGGTGTATCTTCCCACACACGCGATGACCTAAATTCACATCCGGATTGCAGACAAAAATCTTTATATGAATTTAGCAATTGAGAATACATTTGAAAAAAGATTTTAAGTGTAAATTCGAATATATACATATATGTATTTATCTATTTACCTATCTTTCTTGATCTTTCTCTTTATATGTATATAATATATGTATGTATATATACATATAATATATATTGATCTTTCTTTATTTATATATATATATATATATATATATATATATATATATATATATATATATATATATATATGGGTGGGGGTAAAATATATAGAAAAACAGGAAAGGACTTGTTTGGTAAATAATCCAAAGTTCTTTAGTATTTTTTGTTATTATTTTTAAAAAGTAGTGCTCGATACAAAAGTAGAGCATAAATATATTTATTTATTTAAAAATATGATTCCAGCGTTGGAATCATATTTTTAAATAAATGATTATATATATATATATATATATATATATATATATATATATATATATATATATATATATATAAAGAGAGAGAGAGAGTGAACAAGAGACGGTGTGACTCTAAAAATTTAAACTGTATTATGTGAGGCAATAAATTGTTTTACAATATTTACAAAAATCTTTAAAAATAGATTGAGAATTAGCATTTAGTGGGAAGTCATCGTCACCAGAGATTTGTATTAGCCCTACAATACTATTATATTATTCTATGCTTTGTAAAAACTGTTTCCTGTTATTTTTTGTTCTATATATGTTCGGCTAGTGTATACTCAGTTTTTTTTGTTGTTTTTTTTTTCGATTATTCATTTCTTTCCACAACAAACAATGCGTCGCTTCAGAAAACAGAAAATATAGAAAAAATAATCATGCTGCTTGGAAAAAAACGAATATTTTCTTTAATATGCATATATATATATATGTGTGTGTGTGTGTGTGTGTGTGTGTGTGTGTGTGTTTCGCATAGACGTTGCTTTTAGAGTATTAAAATGTTTCTCTATTTATTTTATTTCTGAATGCTAAGTTATCAACTCTAGATCAAAGGCAAAAAAATATGATCCATTCATCATCATCTTTAGCTTTTGGAATTTTCATTTTGCATTCAACGTTTTTTTTTTTTTTTTTTTTTTTTTTTACTTTTGTTTTCCACTTATTCATTCTTTTCCTTCTATTGCTTTCTTTTTCTTTCATCTTTCTCACGTTCTTACTTATTCTCTATTTCTATTTCTCACTATCTATTTCCTTTTCTCTCTCTTTCTCTATCCTTCTTCTTCTTCTTCTTCTTCTTCTTCTTCTTCTTCTAAGAACTACGAATAAACCTTTCCAAAACAGAAACTATGATATAGAATTGGAATCAAAGCAGTGATGGCACATATAAATATTCAAAATGTGGAATTAATAAACTCGAAGGATTTCATATTTTTCAATCAAACCGCTATTTGGATTTCTATCGCTCTTTCTTTAATTCAAGCTGTCTTTAGAATGTGTATGGGTCCGTTATAACAAATTTGTTATAGTACAGGGTGGTCCGAAAGTCTTTTTACTCTCTACCAAAGAATAATAGGAACAATACAAGAACAAGTAATGCATTGCATGGAATACTGCTGCCATACATTGTCTGGTGCCACCGCTGTTCGGCTTAAGTTCCTCAACAAAATCCAGAGACGGATATGCTATGTGATTGGTCCTGATCTGGCATCTCATCTACAGTCGCTCTCTCACAGACGTGCCGTCGCCTCCCTCTGTCTTTTCTACAAATTCTTTCACGGTAACTGCACCGGCGAGCTAGTTCCAAGACTGCATGAATTCAAACGCGCCAATAGGTCGGCATCCCGATCCCACCCCTTTCACTGTCGAAACGGTTAAATGTAGCCGTCTTTTCTACTCCAATAGCTTCATGTCTCGCACTTCCCGTCTGTGGAACTCCCTTCCTCTTACTTGCTTCCCTGATAGCTATAATCCCCAACTATTCAAATGTAATGTCAATCGACATCTCCAGATGCCCTGACCTATTCCCTGTCCTTCTCTCCATCCTTTCCTACATCACGCCTCTTTACTCTCGCTCCCACTCTGTAACCCTCTGCGTCCTAGTGGCATCACGCCTTGCTTGGGGTGAAATGCTTTAAAAAAATACAGTAATACAAAGCACATGTACTGTATTCAGTAAATTCAATTTCATTGACGCTGTCACACCTCGAGAAGGTCTATATGAACACCATCATTTTATGGTGCAAAATGATGCGGCGTCACGTCCTGTGTGATATTTTACGAAGCTGTGCTTTCTTGATTTTGCAACGAACGGCGTCCTTCAACTGAAGGGTATTCTGGTATCGTTCCTGTGAAACTCTTTCCTTGACAATACCCCCACAGAGCGTTGAAATAGAAAATTTATATTATGCTGGAGTGACAAGACTTTCGGACCACACTGTAGATAAGAAATCTGAATTGCGCAAGGGATAGTTTCACAGAAAACCGCAAGATGCTACAAAACCAAAAGATTATCCGAAGAAGTTGAGTCATCTTCTTAAACAACGTTGTCATATCTATACTGTCATATGGATGCCATGTATGACGTCTAAATCGTTCAGAAATATTTTAATTACATGTTTTCTCAGGCCAGTAATTAAAACGACTTCAAACGAATCCTTGAGGCCTTAAAGAATACAGTTCATCAGAATCTATATATTTTTTATCAATTTTATCAAATAACAAAAATCCCATCACTTGAAGACTTCCAATACCAACAACAACTAAAATGGAGAGCACATATAAGTAAGAATAATTATATTGACATTTATACATTTTATACATCAAGTGGATTAGGCGCACTCTCTCTCTCGAGTCAAGATGTTGATCTTCCACACTTCATTAAACAAAAGGTGAGGAAGGAAACTCCCATTAATAATAGAAAGCGAAATAATAGTGGATTTAATAGGCCAATTTGTCTGAAAAACTGTTTTAAGAAAAAGGTTTTATAAATTTCAGCCTAGTCAATGAAACCTGAATATTTCCAATATGGAAACGACACTTTTCGCCATTAATATAAATAAACTATGTATGGACATTTAAAGCTACGACGCTGAGAAAATATTCGACACTGTCACACATATACAGTTGTATGAATTAATATAAAAATAAATAACAACTGTAAATAAATGAAAATCTGTTCGTTGGGTAAAAAGCAGGTCAGAAATCTATCTAGAATTTAAATAGTTTTGATAGTTTTAATCGTTGTTTCAAAATTCTCAATATACGCTTTTTTTCACTCTTTCTTTCTTTCAAGTCGACTTTTCGATTTGGATTTCTCTTTCTTTCTTTCCTTCTTTTTTTTTTTAATCAAACCCTCTTTTGGATTTTTATTCATCTTTCTTTCATTCAAGCTGTCTTTAGAATTTGGATTTAGCTTTCTTACTTTTTTTCATTTAAACCATCTTTTGGATTCCCATTTCTATTTCTTTCTTTCTTTCTTTCTTTCTTTCAAACCGTCATTTCGATTTGATTTTCTTTCTCTTTCTTTCTTTTTTTCAATCAAACGGTCTTTTGAATTTCCGTTTCGATTTCTTTCTTTCTTTCAAACCGTCTTTTGGGTTTGGATTTCTCTCTCTCTCTCTCTCTCTCTCTCTTTTATCCTTTCTTTGTTTTCAGCCGCCTTTTTGATTCTCATTTCTTTCTTTCTTTTTTATCTCAATTTCCCGCCATTTTTTCAGCAACCTGTTTCTAAAATGCTTTAAACCAACCAATATTGATGTCTCCACTAATACTTTTCCCTCCCAGTCCTTTAGTTTCTAAAATTCCCGTTATATTGTTTTTCATTTGCCTTTGAATAGCTATAGATCTTATATTGAGATTCATTAAGCCTCGCCTTGTTTGACTTAGGGTTAAATAAGGGACAAATAAGATTAAGAAGATTATCCTGCAGTTGAAATCCATGTGATGAGAGTCCATCTACAATATTGGCAATCAAAATATCGCCCAAACATGGGTTTTAATTTAGATTTAATCTTTGATTGTATCTACATCGTCGGAATGCGAGTCAACGTCGGGTGTGAAATGGGTCAGTAGCCGTACAAAACTCACTTCAAACACGTCGGCACTTCTTTTGGATACGCTACTGGTACCATGGAATTGTTCTCACGCCAATTGAGAAGTACTACCCGAGAGGATGTCCACAGCACCAACTGAGGCCCGAGAACAGAATATTAATTTTCAGCATCCGCCGTTTAACTAAGCATACTTGCTTTTTAGGCTGAAGACCGAAGTTCGAATCCTGGCCATGGCGAGGTTATCAGTTTTAAGCCGTTTCTTTCCCTTTCATTGTATGTGTGCGTGTGTGTTTATACTTGTTCTCTCTTTCTCATTCAATCTCTCTCTCTCTCTCTCTCTCTCTCTCTCTCTCTCTCTCTCTCTGTGTGTGTGTGTGTGTGTGTGTGTGTGTGTGTTTTCCTCTCTTCAGTTAAGAGATAGTGTGCGTGTGTAAAATATAAATGCGCTTAGACTTCGGGTATTTTCTACTACGTGTCCTTTCAGGTTGTGGGTAGTTATGGCACTCCACATCATCCTATCCTTATTAGACATTAGCAACGTTTGTTCCTTTTCCAAGCCGCCCGCGCTTCTTTCCGCCATCCACTAACACAGGGTCGGCAGATAGATGACCTTCTGCCTTCTCATACCTCTTTTGCCCTCGATATGACATGTGAGTGTTAGACTTTTTAATCCCTCTTCCCTTATTATGTGTTCAAGAAATTTCGTTAGAAATCGTTACACAAGTATAGCCCATCCTACGTCGTTTATTGGTTCCAGAGATCACGACTTAGGTAAAAAAAACGACTTAAGTCGAAATAACCACACTATAAACCGCAAATAAGCACTCCCCATTGCCTATTACTGTATAGTACGCACAGTATTCTGAATAAAATAATTTAGAATAATTAAGTAAAAATCAATTTTAAATTTACGTAAACTCGACTAAACGATCTTAGGCGAGTTTTATTTTTCTATATAATATTAAAAAAAAAATGCCGTATCTTAGAAAATGACTTTAACTCGAAATGAATTAAACCGATGTATCACTGTACTTTGACTTCTTAATTCCTGTTCTTTTATTGTTCTCTCACCTTTATATTTTTTTTCTTCTAATATCCTCTCACACCCTTTGTGTCTTAGTGGCTTTAGTGCCTTGCTTGGGGAGAAATGATTAAAAAATATCAACCCTTTACTTAATTATCTTTTTGTCTTTGAAATTAAAAAAAAATTATATATTTTTGATTCCACGTTTCTTCCCTCCATTAATTATTTTTTTTTTTGTTTGCTTGTTTTTCATATCACTTCTTGAATTTAAAAAAAAACCCAAAAACAATGCTTCTTAAGATATTTTATTCCATACCCAAGCACAACAACTAAAATGCCTGTATACATATGGAGAGTTTCGTAATTAATCAGTTATGAAATACCATTGCTAAATTCTGAACTAGTAAAGGATTTCCGCTCTTATCAACGAAATTCAAATCCCGTCCTCCTCCAAGGAACGTTAACCATCACATTCAGAATCACTGTTCATTTTCTTGCTCGTGCCTTACATCATTCAATTTTTTTCTACCGCCTTACTTTCACTTGCCTTTTTTTTTTTTCACTCAAATTTATCTCCAATTTCAATCACATCATTCTTTCTTTATGTGCCCTGCCTCTTCAGGACATGGCTCTCCACAATCTCCCGTCGTTTGTCGTTTTTCTATATCTTCTAATTCCAGTTCTTACCAACAATTTACACAAGCTTGTTAATGTGCTGCTTTCCTCTGTCCAAACGGTATGTCCTGTGAGTGTCAAATTTTCTAAACCCTCTTTCCTCTTTACGCACCCGATAAATTTCAACTGTCTCTTTATGATGTTAAATATAGATGTCCTTTTTTCCTTTTTTTCTAAATCTTCGTCGTTGCTCACATGTTCAGTCTGTTATTCCCAGTATCCTTCTGTAGAACCATATTTCTGTTGCTTCAAGTTTCTTTTTCATCTGTGATGAGATTTTCCAGCATCACTGCTATAAAGGATGACCGATATTACATGGCAGTTAAGTACTCTTTTCTGTGTAAAACTTGTTTTACATAAAAATACCATCTCGCATCTGAAATTTCAAGTTTAACTTTTAAAGTGACATTCAAGTTTACTTTACTATTTATTGATTATATAATCGATTCACAAGCATTTTCGAAAAAAATAATTTCAGGTTTCCACATGAATGGTAGTCAGTGTTTAAAAATCTGACATTTCTTGTTTTACATAGATAATGTTTCTTGCGTTCAAAAACTGTTTTTATTATATTCAAAAGGAAAAATGCGCGGTTTTGTATCTCTACTTTCTTCATTGTACTTTTTAATAAAACTATCTCGGATATGTACACGCAGTTCTTTTTCAGTTGCTTCACAATCGGCACAATCTGTGTTATTCTTCGTCTAGATGCCGTATCCCGTGGGCAATCACGGCTTTTTCCGAGATTCTCCTCTTTCTTAATATTTTGCTTTTCTTCTTGAAAGCATCTTTCGCTATCCTCGTGTGCCTTTTGGTATTGGTGTTGCACTTTCCTTCCTTTATTCATTCTCTTTTTCTCATAATCGGATTTAGAAATTTCAATTGTCTCTTTCTGATGTTAAGAATAAGTGTCCATTTTCTTTAACATGTTCGGTCCATGGTATTCTCAGCATCCTTCGGTAGAACAACTATTTTTTTGTGTGTTTGTGCGTATTTACTGTATTGTAATTTTTCATCCTTTGTTTCGTCTAACGTTATCGTCCTATGCATCGAAAACACGAGGCTGAAATCTCACACACTTTTACTCAACGCCCACACCTCCTCCACACCCCACAGGTGTCGCTTTCGGATATTATCTCTGAGGAGATTGTCCAGCATTCACTGCTATATAGAAGGACTGATATTATATAACAGGTCAGTACTCTTTTTTTCTTTTTTCTTTTTGTCTCTAACGAAATATTTTTAATACTTTGCTTAGCTTTTGAAAGGCATCTTTCTGACAATCACATATACTGTCTTCGTACACGTTTCTGTTTAATCTTTTCTTCTTGCTTTCCTTTACTCTCTTCTGTAGGAGTTCCCGTAATTTCCCTTCTCTATCTGATATCAAATCTTTTATCTGCATATATAATTTTGTTAAGATTACGGCCGTCAAAAAGAACCTGGGGGGACTCCTAATTCTTTAAGACTTACTTCAATGTAAATTTTGAATAAGTCCGGTGAGAAGACACGTCCTTGTCTAATGTGCCTTTCTAATTTTTTTTTCTATGTATTTACAGCATTGTAATTATTCATCCTTTGTTTTGTGTAACCTTATCGCCCTACATGTCTAATTGAAAACACGAGGCTGAAATCTCTCACACTTTTACTCAACGTCCATACTTCCTCCACACTCTACAGGTGTCGTTTTCGGATTTCTTACAAACGTAAATTCTGCATCTAACCATTACGAGAGACTCGATTCTTTTTTCCTTTTGGGTGGATGTTTATATATCTCCCTGCCATACAGTCTTTCCTACGCGTGCACAGATAGGCGCAGCTGGGTTTACCGCATGTTCACATTTCAGGAGTAGCTACTGACATCCGATGAAGTGCGGATCTGCTCCTCGTGAATTGTGGGGGTCAGATCAATATGCCTATGCACCTGGATTCTCCAAGGCTCTGGTGTAGCACTGAGGGTAAAGTTCATGGTGACAAAATCTGGGATGAGTCACATAAGAATTCTTATTTATTTCTAGTGGTTCAATTTTTTTTTCTAGAATCGTCTTATTACAAAATAAAATGAGATGAACGTCATTATAACATTTTAAAGGTGAGCACCCCCGAGGTGGTGTAATGGTTAGCAAGCTTTTCTTGCTAGAACAATTACGGCTGAGTAGTGAGTTCGATCCTCACTGGGTGCCCCTTACTTTCGGCCGTGTGCCACATCCAAGCTACGCTTGGAAAATTACTATAACATTTTAAAGGCCTTCCTGCTAACCTTTTGTGTTTACGAAATAAGACCATGAATAAAACAGTTATACTACTGGTTTCAAAGATGAGAAAATGAAATGAAGATGTGGAAGATGAGCAGGGGGAGAAGGACGCGGGATATAAAAACTATCACATTGGAACCTCGGTTCACGAATTTAATTCGTTCCTGAAGCCCGTTCGTAAACCGAAACTATTTTTCCAATAGAAATCAATGCAAAATGGATTAATCCGTTCCTGGTCCCAAGAGGATTGCTTATTTAAACTTTTACAACAGTACTTTGTGTACAAGTTTATACACAAAAGTAATAAAAATTATTACGTCTATGAAAAAATCAATAAACCCAATACTAAATAGATAAAATAGAGTAGGATAGTTGATGGCGTAAGTGGAAGGAAAGAGATGTTATTGTTTGGAAAAGGGAAGGAAAGACATGATCGTCTCTTTATTTATAAGAATAGTATAGATCGTTGATTTTGCCATATGAAACTGAATAGGAAGAGACAATATCATCGACAGTTGATCTCTTAACTTTTCTTTTTCCTTTACCAGTATCACTGCTAGCTTTCTTTGGATCCATGACTAATTGCTAATAAAGAGATGGAAAAAGTATAGTACAATAAAATTGAAAAAGAAAACTATAACACAACACACGAATGTATACAACATGGAGGTCGATTCAGAAATGATTCCGTTCGAGTTAACTCGGCTCGCTCGACAATGTTGTTCGAGAACCGAAATTTGTTTGATAACCGAGGCATTTTCATCGCCAATTTTCTGTTCGGAAACCGATTTGTTCAACATGTCAGTCGTTCGAGAACCGAAGTTGCTCTGTATAGCATTGATACAGTTTGAGCTCGATTAGAAAATTAATAACAAAATTTTAGATACTCATAAAAACATTTAATAGTCAAGTTCATAATCTCCATTGTTTTAACAATGTCTCCCATCGTTCTACAAGTTTGTTGACGCCATTTTCGTTGAAATCACGTGTCTTTTTTGCTATTTTGTAGTCAGAAGGTTGTGAAACTGTTCAGAGTCAAATTTTCTGTTATTTAAATTGTTCTGTAGAGACTGAATCAACTGAAAATGCGAATGAACCAAGTCAGGAGAATTCGATGGATGCTGGAGGGATTTTCCCCATATCAAATCTTTAAGCTTCTGCGAAGTCTGCGTTGCTGTGATGGAAAATGCAACTTTTCTGATCTGCCAAAAAGTCTCTTCAAATGGTAGAAGGCAGTTGAGATATTAATTTTTCCAACTCTAAGAAAATTCTTTCGTCAAAATCTTCGCTTTATTCTCCATGATGGCAAACAGAACGTCTTTATCGACATCGGACGTTCGCTCGAAGCGTGGTTAATCGTTTAGGTTAAAATCGCTCTGACGAAATCTGCCAAACCAATTTTTGACCGCCCGAAGAACTGGAGTACAATCCAAATAACCCTTCTGAATATTTTCGTCGCAGATTAGTTGCTTACTTCTTACCGAAATTTATAGGACATAATAGGGTCAAAGTGCAACTTTTCATATTCCATAATTAAGGCATTAATTTGTTGACAAAAGGTCAACATTCAACAAAGTCTGAGTAGCAATTGAACTATGCAAGGTTTCAATCTAGAACACACCAGAAAAAAGCACCAAAACAAACGCCAGTGTCAAGTTGCAGACATTTTATAGTCATAAGGATAATTGGGTACAAATTTTTGTAATGTAACGAACAGCATTGAAAATGACGCTGAATATGACGCTTGCAAAAAGATAGAAAATATATCGAAAATAAGAGGATAAAAATAAAATAAATAATAGTTAGGTGAATGAGTGGAAGAGGATATAGAAAAAACGAAGAAAAGGGAGAAAACGAAAAGAGAAAAATGATGAAGCCAGAAGAAAGGAGGTCATTGGCAAGGTAAAAAATATGGAAAGAATTAGTGTGGAAATAGTAGGAAAAATAAAAGAAAAGAGGAAATTAAAAGCGGTCATAAAGAAGAAGAAAGGAAAGAACAGAAAAGGAAAGTAAAAGCGACGATGAAGAAGAAGAAGAAGAGAAAGAAGAAGAGAAAGAATAGTAAAGGAAAGAGGAAAGTAAGAGCGACGATAAAGAAGAAGAGAAAGAAGAGTAGAAAGAATAGTAAAGGAAAGTAAAGGCGACGATGAAGTAGAAGAGAAAGAAGAAGAAGAAGAAGAAGAAGAAGAAGAAGAAGAAGACGACGACGACGAAGAAGAAGAAGAGAAAAAAGAAGAGAAAGAATAGTAAAGGAAAGAGGAAAGTAAAAGCAACGGTGAAGAAAAAAAGAAAGAAGAAGAAGAAGAAGAAGAAGAGAAAGAATATTAAAGGAAAGAGGAAAGTAAAAACGAAAATAAAGAAGAGAAAGAATAGTAAATGAAAGAGGAAAGTAAAAGCAAGAATGAAAAAGAAGAAGTGAAAAAAAGTAAAAGAAAGAGGAAAGCAAAAGCGACGATGAAGAAAGTTAAAGTGATAAAAAAAGAAAATAAAGAAGAAAATAGAAAGACAAGATGAACGTTTAAGAGATGAAGAAAAAGAAAAAGAAAACATGGTGATGATAAAGAAGGAGAATAAACGGAAAGAAAAGAGGAAAGTGAATGTGAAGTAGAAAAAAATGAAAGCAAATACGAAAAATAAAGACATAATGAAAAAGAAGCAGAAGGAAAAATAAAAAGAAAGTAAAGAGAAACGAGAAAGCGAAGAAGAAATATTGCAGGGAAAAATAATAATAATGGTAAAATAATTGGCAGATATAAGTTTGATTACAATAAAAAATAAATAAAACAATACTAAATTCGGCATTTTCATCAAGTTGTACCCCAATAAAACGTATTCCCCGGCTGCTGAATTATTGTGAACGCTACCGTTGAACATCGTTTTGTTTAAATACCAACTTGTTTCTGGTGTGTTTAAAAGAGCAAGCAGTGTTTTTGAGGTGATGTCAAGGATTAGGGTGGTGTTAACTTGAATCCCTTGAGAACTTGCGTGCTTAAAAGATATAAGACGTTACACGAAAAAAAAAAAATGAAAATAAAAGAGAAGGTGTCCAATGAACGGGGTCAGTGAAGACGCAATACACAAATGTATTGTTTCACACGATCAGCCTCTATAGGTGCGAAAAATGTAAGAAAAATTGAAACGAAAGAGAATTGAAAACAGAATCAAAGGAAAGGATGCTTGATCAACCGGATATAGTTAAGTAAAAAGAAAGAAAATAAAGAATGAATTTTAGAGAAATTTAACCATTTTATGGTGTTTACGTGTATGCAGATTTACATATATAAAAAAATTTCATGTCCACCTCTCTCTCTCTCTCTCTCACTCTCTCTCTCTCACGCACGCACACACACATAGACACACACAAACACATATACTGGACTCTCTCGTCCTTTTCGACGTATTGTGTTGGTGCATAATTATCACGCGTTTTAAAACAATATTTATTATGAAAAAAGAAACATAACAACTAAACAATAACATTTTAAATGATTATTCCGGAGCGTATTACTGTCAACAGGCATTTTTATAACCTGAAAACACTATTTTTATTTTAAAAAAAAAAAAAGAAGGTAAACAAAACAGCATTTTTTATTAACAAATAACTCGCTATGAAAACGCCTGATAATTATGCACCAACCCAATAAAAGGTTCCTGTAGCCCAGTTCTTAGAACCGAACAGCCAGACTACCCGCACAAATCTTTTGATTATAGCGGTGAAGGCTTGTGCAGAACCAGTGACACTTTTTGGAAGAGCCGAATATAAAGAGAACTTATGCACAAGGTCTCTAATGAAGCCTCCTCAAGTTTGTCAGAGTTGTCATTCTCCTAGATCGGTTGCCATCCAATGCTATAGGAAAAATCTGTCATGCTATTTACCTATAGCTGCGATGCTTTGGTTGCTGTATTCGAAGTTGGATTGTGTAGCGAATATTTTATTATTGTTGCGCTGTCAACGAGCAGACCGTTTTTCTATTTTATAGAAAGCGCATCAATCAAAAAATATTCGCTACACAATCCAACATTGAATACAGCAACCAAATACACAGCGACACATATATACGTATATATAACAAGTCCTATACTGTTCACATATGTTTATGTTTGTGTGAGCTCCGGTGGGTCAGCGTGCGCGTGTGTGTGTCTGCGTACGTCAATGAGTGTACGGGCGTGTATGTATGTTTGCGTAAGTATGAGTGGCGTCCCAATGACAATTTTTCCTCCCACTTCCATAAAAACACCGATATGCGCAACCCTATATCAATCCCAAATTTAAAAATTAATCAGTTTGTCTGACGATATCAAAAGCGAGAAACCCAGGGTCACAAATTCACATCAATGCAACTATATATATATATATATATATATATATATATATATATATATATATATATATGAACAATAAAAAATATTAAAAAATTAAAATCTTCAGACACACTGGGTTGTAGATTAATATTATTTCGTTTTTATTATTATTATTCCATTTAGATTCCTCGTCTAGTTTCGGCCAAAATGGCCATCATCAGGAGCAGAAATATTTCTGCTTGCTGGTAGCAGTGAAGTACAGAAATGGATGTCTTGATGGAGAGAATGAACTTTTGTCTGTAGTTTTCATTTGTTTTTGTTTTTATTTTTTATCTTTTTAACATGAATCTTTTAACATTCCTTGTGTTGGTCAAACAGTCTCTTTTAAGTTGTTATTTGAGATAAGAGCTGGATGGATCCATGATGCTCTGAATTTCCCTGGTATGTTTGACAGTTTTATTGGTTCTTGGAGAAGAGGTGTGTCTCTCTTAAATGTGTGTGTGTGTGTGTGTTATTTGGTTCTTAGGGAGTGAGTGAGTATCATATGTGTAAGCGTGTATATTGCTGTGGGTGTGTGTTATCATTGGGCTCATTAGGGAGTGAGTGAGTATGATGTGTGTAAGTGTGTATGTTCGTGTGGGTGTGTGTATAAGTGTTAGGCTTCAACCCCTCCGTAAGCATGTCTGTCTTGTGTGGGTGAGAAATTTGGGTAGGTTTTGATTTGTAAGGTTATATATTAGTACTATCTATATTGTTAAATTTATGGTTTAGCCCGGCTGGATAGTGTGTTTTTAAACGTTGTATCCACTTATTTTCATGGAGCTCTAAAATCTTTCTAATGTTATCTTCTCTGAACTTTTCTCTTATACACACACACACATATATATATATATATATATATATATATAAAGGCATTTTTATGTTTTTCATTCTTTTCGTAGTATATAAACATAAAAATGTCTTAAAATTATTGTCAAACTTGTCCATTTCATTATATATATATATATATACATTCATATATATATATATATATATATCATCAGTTCAAGATATTCTTATGATGCACAGTTGCGATCGAACATGGCATTTCTACTCAGCTAATGTTACATCATTTGCTACAAGACCTTCATACATGTATCCCATCTCCATAAGCGGTATCCATCAATTGATCTGATACAGTTCCAGAGCATTGATATTTAGTCAACATGGAGTTGGTTGGCCTGTATGAGGTAAATTGTTTGTATCTCAGCATTTGTAATTCACTTATATGCTCTATAATAAAAATTATATTGAGCTATCTTTTGTGGATCAGTTTTAATATTTTATATTAATAGGACCTACTTGGATTACTTACCCACAGATTGTTTTTAGCTATATATATATATATATATATATATAGCTAAAAAAATCCGAGATAGAGAGATACACACGCAAAATACACAGTTTCCCTAGTGGAGGTAAATTGTGATATAAGGAGTAGTTGTCTTAATACTCCACAATTCTGAAAAATCAGCGAAAAGACTTTGCATTTGGGTCGAATCTAATCTCTTAATGCACTCATCATATATATGAATTCGACATACTTCGCCAGTCGTGTTGGCCTCGGTCTTGTCCTTCTCACGTCATTAGAGCCGGCAATTATACTATTTGAATTATGTAGATTACATGGCGCGTGTTATTTCGAAATAGAGAGAATTGTAAATAACTCTTTTCCCACTGAAATGCTGTGAATAACTTCATTTCAGACTTTGATATATACTCATGCAATGACTGCTCAAACATCTACAGGGAAGACCTCACTAGATGATAGTATGGTTTTGGGGTTTTGGTATTATTACCTAAAGCTCAAATTGACTCAGCAATACCTCACAATATCACCTGGCTTTGTGGTGTCTCAGTTACATTTCGCGAGTACCAGATGAAAAACGTTGTTGTATTTGTCCCAGTCTTGCAGCGTATCTCCTTTTATATGAACAGGTTGTGTTAAATAGATGGGTAGATTTGTATCTATAGCCTTGGGTGGCAGCCAGTATAGGAAAAGGACAACTCTGATTCACCATATCATCATTTATCAAGTCGGTATCTATGCTAATGACACACCTATTTACTCCTGTCTTAATAGTATGGCTGATCGTTTGAAATTGAAGCTGATCTAAAAAAAAAAAAATAGGCATTCAATCCGTTAACTTGAGCAAGAAATGGCTTGTTAATTTTAACGCCTCCAAAAGGAAGCTGCTCTCTATTAATCGTTCGAGAGAATTCACTGTACCTTCCACCAGTATGGCTGATGCTTACCTCCAGGAGAGTGACTCATTGCACCTTTTCAGGCTAGCGTTCTCCGCTGACATGAAGTGAAAAGATTATACTGAATCACTTACTAAGCCTTCTGCGGACAATAATGAGTACGTCTCCAGTCACATAAATACAGTAGTAAATACTGTATGTTGGTCTGCAGTTGGAGATTCGTCTCCAGCTGTGCTGATCAAGCTCTCTGTCTCCGGGCTGAGATGATCCCCAGACGAGGCTATGTCGAAGGGTAGGGTCTCGTCTCGGGAAACAGCTACCCGACCCCGTTTTATACGTGGGTCTACGGGGAAATTTTAGCCGAGCCAATGGGCTCGGATACCCCACATTAAATTCGGCCTTGTGCTACATCTGACCGCGTGGGCGATTGGTAGATATCCTGCAGTTGGTGATTCATTGTGGATTTCACTTGATTCACTTCTAGTAGTTGACTACTTCTACTTGCCGCTGGCGAATCTTATATGTGTTGTTCTTGTTCTAAGTATTATCGTTCATTACCAACCTACGTGTTATTATTCTATTCAGTAACCTTCCCTAGGTTACAACAGAAAATTGATTCACTGTCTTGTGCTTGACAATTTTTCTCGACGGGATTTATTTTACATATTTATTCGTGCAAACATTGCTGCCACATCTGGTCCATTATTTCTACTATGTATTTAGATATTCTTGATAAAATACAAAGAAGAATCTGCAATGTTATTGGCCATGACCTGGCATCTCAGTTTCAGTTACTTTCCCACCAATATAAAGTAGCTTCGCTATGCCTTTTCTATAGCTACTTTCATCGTAATTCTGATGAATTGTCTTCTGTGGTAAGAATGTGTTGTTTTGGCTTAAGAAATACTATGGTACGTTTGGGTCAGTAATCGTGGCTAGCTAAGTTGAAGATACAATGTAACCCGGATATAAGAGAGTTGTCGGGACCGGAGAAGAAGTCTCTTATATCCGGGTTTGGTCTATTTTATATACATTAACACAGGCTCTAATTTGGGAGCAGAGAAAATCTCTCATATCCGAGTTCCTCTTATATTCGG